AAAGCCATAGAAAAGACTTGCCAACCTATTTATCCTCTCTATGATGTATTTGTCATAAAAGTGAAAATGCTGAAGAAGCCAAAGTTTGAATTGGGAAAACTCATGGAACTTCATGGTGAAGGATATGGTTCTGGAAAAACTACTGAAAATGAGACAGGTGCTAAAGTGGAACAAGCTGATGGCCATGAGCCACTAGTTTAAGAATCTGTTTAAAATTCAGAGTTGTCATGGTGACAAATAAAAGATCTTACTGTGGGAGGTGGGCAGAGTGAAAGTCAGAAGATAATATGAAGTTTCCTCTTAAATATAGAGTCACTATTTAAAATATATATATATAGAGAGAGAGTCACTAAAGAAAATCAAATAAATGGTGAAATAAAAGAGCAAAACAGAAGGCTACAAAGGGAAGTACAAGAAAATAAAGTATTACCATTGAAATTTTCAAACACATGAAGTTAGAAAATCAAAAGGGAAGAACATGCTCAATATTTTTCCAGTGGAAAAAATGAAGATAAGACAAGTTTTGAGTTGAAATACTGAAGGAGTCTACAGAAAATTTTGAATAAAGTAGAAATTATTAAGAGAAGATGGAAGGAGGGACTTCCAACAAAGATAGCATCATAAACTAATGCATAGTAAAATTTATCTTCAACAAAAATGTGGAGAAACAGATTTTAAGGTAAAAACTAAAAACTTAAGTGAACAGCCCCAACAATTAGGAAAAGAGCAGCAAAAGAAGCCTACAGTAACCAAGAGAAGAAACCATACGAAGTATAGTAGAAATGAATGAAACAGAAAATCTAAAAGCATTGAATTCCAAAAGACCATGAATTGATTCTTGAAAAAAGTAATAAAATTGACAACCACTAGCAAATCCAACAAAGAAAAAGAAGGGGAAGATGCTAATGACATGAATAAGAAATGAAATGAGTGCCAGTATTATAGAGCCAAATTAGTTGAAAGGACAGTAGTAGGACATTATGAAGCCCTATACTCTGACAAATTGGCAAACCTACAAGAAGCGGTCAATTTGTAGAGATACACTACATATGTAAACTAACATGAACGGAAATAGAAAATTTGAACTGACCCAAAGCAAAAGAAGAAATTGAGCAGGTCTTTAAAAAGCTACCAACATAAATTAAGTTCTGGTCTGATGGCTTCATAGAAAAGTTCAATCCTACTATTAAGAGATGAGCTGACATCAATTCTCCTAAAATTAATTCAGAGTATAGAACTGAATGGAATACCCCAAATTAATTTTAGAAGGGAGCATAACCTAGATACTAAAATCAAGTAAAGACATCACTAAAAAAAAATGAAACAAAATTTCTCATGAACACTGATATCTAATTCTTACCAATAAAATTGTCTAGAATCTTATCCAATAGAATCCAACAACAGAAACCTAGTCAATAGAATACAAAAACATATCAAAAGCGATAGAGAATTTGGTATGACTAGGATTTATACCAGGCAAACAAGGACAATTTAACATTAGAAAAACAATACATGTAATTCACAAAATAAATAAAACAAAAGAACCGCATGTTTATGTTGATCAACATAGAAAAGACATTTGACAAAATCCAACACCCATTCCTGATTAAATAAAACAACAACAATCACTTAACAAAATAAGAATAGACAGGAGGCAATTCCTCAACAGAATTAAGGGCAAACAGAAAACTAATGGCCAACATTATTTCCAAAGGAGAGAAACTGAAAGCATTTCCTTATAAACAGGAAGCAGACAAAGATGTGCTTTCTTACCACTGTTACTCAATATTGTGCTGGAAGTCTTAACCACAGCTAAAATGCAAGAAAATGAAATTAAAGGTATCCAAATTGGCAAATATGAAGTAAAACTCTCTCCATTTGCCAATATATGATCCTTCATATGGGAAATCCCAAAGATTCAGCAAGAAAGTTCATGGAATTAATTGAAAGATTAGATAATACGACAGAGTATAAGATCAACCAGTCAGATTCCATTACACTAGAAAGAGAACTCTGAAAATGAAATCAAGAAAGTTAGACCATTTCCATAGCCACCTAATAGATGAAATAAATTTATTCAGGGAAACAAAAGACAAAAACAAAGAAAACTCCCAAACACTACTACAATAATAAAAAGAGACATGCATAAAAGGAAGACCAT